TCGAAAAATTTTCAATTATTCCTAAAAAAATGAAATAATTTCCATTTGTTTTAAATTATGGCTTCTAACTCCGCCATAGATTTGTGAATCAAAGCCATGAATTCCGGTCAAAACTTGACTGTCTTTATTTTCTGAATTTTGGTTTATTTTAGTCGAAATTGTTTCTAACTTGTAAGTTGGGCAGTTGGGCTACAAGTACAATGCATGATTTTATGTACGTCTCTGAATATAAAATATATAATTAGTGAGCCCTTATTTACTAAAATTATACTAAATTTTTGGTTAATTCCTGTTGATCCAGACCGACAAAGCTTGTCTGCAGTTTTTGTGTTTTTATTTTTTTATTTTTCCTTTTCTGCAGACTTTTCGGAGTTATTTATATTTTACATTTCATAAAGTCATATATATATATATATATATTTCACAGCCACATGCTTACATTATGACTGTCCAAGTTTCAGTTTAATTAATTTTCTTCATGTGAGGCCCAATTAAATTATGTATCCCATTCTTTCATATTGATGAGAATTAAGGGTGGCCCGTTCGTGAAAATTTAGGCTTTATTCGGTTTAAATTGAGTTTTGAGTCGAATTTGAGCCTAATATAAAAGTTTGTTTGTTAATCAAGTCGAGTTTGAGCTTAATAAAATTTGGCTCATGAAGCTTATAAGTTTAATATTAAATAAATAATTTTATAATATGTAATAATAATACTTTTATTTTTATGTATAATAGTAAATAATTTTTTATAATTATTTTTTGTATATACAATATTAAATAATTTTTATGATTCTTAATTTTTTGCTTGATAAATAAAAAATAATTATATATATTTTTTATTTGAAAAAATGGCTTATAGTCAAGCTCGAACTTACAAACTATGAATCGAGCTAAGCTCGAGATCAAATCTCTATCTCGAATCGAGCTCAAACTCAAACTTAAGCTTGATACTATTCTTGCGAGCCAAACTCAAATAACCAAATATTCAACTTACCTCAGCTTGATTCAAATCCAGCCCAAATGAGAACAACAACACATACAAATAGTAACATGAACTCCACAAATATGAAACCAAAACCATCACTGTTTGCGTTTTCCTTTTAGTTACCTGAACAGAAAATAGAGTGAACATGAACAGAGCAAATAGCTAAATTTATAATGTAAAAAACTGTATCATGAAATAAAAGTGTGAATGAATTTATGATAAAGCAGACGGTTAAAGTTGTCATGTTTGTGATTATTGAAATCTTTGATGTAATTGATAAATACATCTTATAGAATATAAATAAATAAATAATAATAAAAATATGATTTTTAATTTAATCTATTAATATTAACATATTCAATGTTTGCATCTTATTAAATTGTTGGCAAACCCTTGGGTCCGACCCGATCAATAACATACTACATTCCTATGGTCCACATAATATTGCATGGTAGTGTTTCTTTACCATCATTGATGACCATTTCAGCTGATTAGGTGCATGTTTTAGAGAGCTGCATTCTAGTAGCTTCTGGTTTTTCTAGAAAGAACCCATACATATAGCCTATAAGCTATATTTGATAAAAAAATATTTGGAGAACCCAAATCAGCTATAAATTAGTTATGGGCTATCTATTTGGACATCGGCTTCATTGTTCACATGACCATGCTCACACCGTTAGTACAGTCTTTATATCCTTGCATTAGGAATATCTTTGTACTTACAAGCTTTTTTTTATGGGGAGATATTCCCAATGCAAAGTTGTAAAAGGCTGTGCTAACAATGTGATCGAGCACGGTCTTGTGAGCATTGAAGTCGATTTCATCCACTTCAACCTCTTTTGAATATCTTATCCAAAGCGTTTCAAAACCATTAAACCGATTTAACTGAACCTTCAGCTCAGCCTTCCCAAACAGGTCCCCATTGCATGATATTGATGGATCTAAATTATTTAATAGTTATATAAGATGAACCTGTTAGTCAATCGTTTTGTTGCTGCTAAGGATGGGCCGAGGGCAACGATGTAATTACACTTCCGTAGACAAGAGCTAGTTGAGTCCGAGGGCTTCAATGTCCAACTTGTGAGCAATGGAAGACATCAGAGGCCCCAGGTGTTATCCTAGGGGCAGAGACTCCGACAATCAAGTTAATAAGTGCATAACAAGGGGTTGGACGAGGCTGAATAGAGATAGCTCGAACGAGGTCACTAGAGAGTTAGGGAGCTTAGAGCAATAAAAGCCAAGATAGCTTACATAATATGTGACACACCTATTTGTACTTGAGCTTGCCAGGAGTTGGTTAGCAATGGACAGCCAAGATGCTGACTAGCCCATGCCACGTGTCGCCATCATGGGCCTGCCATGTATGCCTACATCACGTTCAATGTTGAATTTTGATTTCATTAGAGATAAATCAGTTTTCTAATTGGTTAATTGCATGATAAAATACAATTACACATGCACTTAAAAATGGTTTTAAAGTTACCATCAAAACTCTTTGTTTTAACTAATTTTCTCCTCTTTTAAAACTTGTCACACATTGAAAAATTACTAAACTTTCTTTGGGTTTTTAAATATTAGCTTGCTTACAATCCTATAAGTATGGGGACTTGTTACCGTGTAATGCATGCACATGTCTGTCCAGCGCAAATGAGATGCTTTAGAGGCGCACTACGCTCACACTTCACAAATCACAAATTATGTCTTTTGCAAAATCATAAAATCGCAAGTAGCAACTTGGAAAACTGCATCTGGTTTGAACATTCATGACTTGGCATGATCAAGAGATATTATTCAAACTTTAACAGCTAATAACTATTAACTAACCATGAACAATCATAAAATTTTAATTTGTGACTGTCACACCCCTCCTCATGATAATTCTCCAGAACTTATAGAAGGATATAAACCAAACTAATTTATGTACAAGTTTCACTTACTTTTCACTACAAAGACATTTGTTTCTCTTAGTTTGATATGCTATTGTCTCATAAAAGGTTTCTTTTGAGAATCTTTATATTTGTTGGTTACAATTTATCACCCAAGGCTAGGGGTGGATTCAAGTCGAGCCAAGTTGAATTTTTGGCTATTCGAGCTTTGCTTGCTAGAAAGCCATGAGACTTGAGCTCAAGAGTTTTACAAGTCGAGTTATATTAGACTTGAGCTTGGCTCAATTAGAAAATGAACTTATATATTGGATTCAAGTTCAACTCGAACCTTGGTTTAGAACAAGCTGAATCAAGCTCGAATAACTCGTGAAAGGCCCGATTTGTTTCCTCCCCTACCCATGGCCCTGTTATATAGTGAGAATAAATTTGCTAGTAATCTAACAACAAATTCAGTAAAATTAAATAGAGACAAATAGTATTCTAAAATAAATATGCTTAATAGCTTTTCTTCGAAATTAACATGACCCCAATTTCTAACATTCAATACAAACTGATTCAGATATCTGATTCAAATTCCCGGCTGACCGGCTCTTAACAGTCAACACAAGAAACACTCCTTGCGTGATTTTAGATCAGCCAAACCGCTGCATACGGATGTCTAAACCTTTTCTGTTGGGCATTCTGGTACGATACTTCCCATGTTGACTTGTTGAGTATGGGCAGCCAATATTTGTATTTAATTGGTCTCCAACCAACATATTTGACATCAAATTCATCAACTCGTTCCACCATTTCATGTTAGTCCTACACATTCATAATTCTTTGGGTTGATAATTTGCAAGTCAACCAAAACTGCAAATTTGTATAGGGGATGCTAGAGCCTAGAGGGGTTACAAAAACGAAAACCAACCCAAATAATTAATCTAATTCCGTTGCTTTATTTTTATTTAACAAATAAATGGATTTGAATGAGGTTCGATTTGGTTTACTTGGATTCATAAAAATGGTATAACTCAAATATTGATTAGGCTCCATTTCCTAGAACAAAAGCTATTGCCTATGAGGTTGGTAATCCAACTTCTCACACTGCTCAAGAAAACGAGACAAGATACAAATTTACCCTATTGTCGCCTATTAGTATTCTAGTGGCGATGAGATGTATCTTGGATTGGAATCGGACATGTATGGCGACTTAGGATGTTTCTTGATGTCCGGTCTTTGACAACTCGGTTCGACCTAAACCAATAACACATGTTTCCTAGGGGATTGATTCGGTTTTAGTTCCATTTGCTTAATCAGCAAACACCCAAAAATATTGACAATCAATGGGTGTGAGGAAGAAAACCTAGAGAGGAAATATTTAAAACTGAACCATTGTAGTTTGTAGGATTGATCGAATCAGTTGTATTATTGGTTGAATCAATGTAGCTGCACCAAATTGATTAGGACTAATTTTAAAACCTGTCATTTCGATGAACGGACCGGGCTGAATTTCTGATTCCCCTGACAAGCGTTTTTCGCGTTTCAGAATAAATACAGGATATATCATAAATCAGTGGTTGCCCCGTTACTACTAGTTAGGTACACCATACAATTCAATTATCCCATTCCAAATTCGGGCCCATCGGTCCATTACTCTGAGCTTCATAACTAACTAAAGTTGTTAATTTTCTGTCAGGGAATAACCACCTGAGTTTAGTTCTAAAGAAAAGAAAGCCCAACCCACCGTCACACCAACCAAACATGGGTTAACAACAAATGCAGCAACTATAATAGATACAAAATACAGAGTAAAAAAAGTGGCTATAATATATTTAAATGTACCCATAATTGAGACCAACTCATCAAGGCCCATTAGATAGTTTCTTACCGAAGAAAGGCCCATTAGATAGTTGTTTAGTATAACCCATTTTTAAACTAACTTACCTATCCATGAATTAGCTGATAGCTATGATTCATTGAAAATAAGTCAAGAGAAGAGATATGGATGACAGCCAGGCTAAAGATCCTGAGCCAGCCTACACACTATTACATCCATATCCTGTGGCTATTATGGGTGTTGCTCATGGCTGCTTCTACCACACAGACATTATAAAAGGGCCACACCCAGCCTCCACCGTTGGCTTAAGCTTCTCTTTTCTCTCTTGTTTTTAATCTTCCTTTAGAGGAAAATTTCTCTCTCTCTCTCTCTCTCTCTCCCTCTCTCCCTCGTTTGGGGAATTGGGCTCCAGAGAAGACATACAAATTTAAATACCGCTCCGGAGAAGGGTCAGACAGTTGCTCGTGAGAATCTCTGAGTCTGAGAGCAGGATAAAGAAGAGGAAGAAAAAGCTCCCAGCCTTCCACCTTCTCTGCTTCTCTTCGCTTTGCAGTTACTGCTCTTTCCTCTTTTCTAAATCCAATATCATCTCCATCTCTCTGGCTATGGCTCTCGTTTTGTGTTCTTTTTGTTTGTGAATCGGGCGGTGTTGATGCTCGCGTTTTGTTGCTCTGTCTATTCTACATCTCTTCTTTGTAGTCTGCTCTCTTCTCTCTAAAGCTATAAGCTTGACTGCTTGACTGTGAGTTTTAAAAGACCCAGAAAAGAAAAACAGTGAACGCTGAAAGGGGACAGAGAAAGAATACATGGGTAGTCGTTGTTTCTCTCTATCCACTCTGTTTTTTCTGTTTCTTACGGTGACAAAGCTGTTGACTGAAGTCGATTCAAGAACCTATTGGGAAGATATAGAGAGCTTGAAGGAGCTGAAGAAAGGAGTCGATGCTAGGTCTGTGACGCCGGGGTCTTGCTTGAGTTCCTGGGACTTCTCCGTCGACCCATGCGACAACATCTTCGGCGAGCGATTCACTTGTGGGTTCAGATGTGACGTCGTTGTCTCCGGCCTCAGCCGAGTCACTGAAATCAGCCTCGACCGAGCTGGTTACTCCGGGTCCCTCTATTCCTCCACCTGGAACCTCCCTTACTTGGAGAACCTGGACCTCGCCGACAATTTCTTTTCCGGGTCCATCCCAAGCTCGTTTTCCAACCTGACTCGCCTCCGCCGACTTGCTCTCTCGCGAAATTCGTTGTCCGGCGAGATACCCACCTCGATTGGGTCCCTCTCCTATCTCGAAGAGCTCTACCTCGACAACAACCATCTTCAAGGCCCAATCCCCGCGAGCTTCAACGGTTTGGTGCGCTTGGAAAGACTAGAGCTTCAAGGGAACCACTTTTCCGGCGAGTTTCCCGATTTGAGTTCTCTCAATAGCCTTTATTTCATCGACGCCAGCGATAATGGGATTTACGGCCGAGTGCCTGTCAATTTTCCAGGATCCCTAGTTGAGATTTTGATGAGAAACAATAAGCTACAAGGAAATCTCCCGGAGAACTTTCGTGATTTGAGGTTTCTCCAAGTGATTGATCTGAGCAATAACCGGCTTTCGGGCTCTATTCCATCTGCTCTGTTCGACCACCCATCTCTGCAACAACTAACTCTGTCTCACAACCAATTCTCGTCTATACAAGTACCCTGGACCATGGGCACCCGAAGCGAGTTGATAGCGCTTGATATCAGTTACAACGAGCTTCAAGGATTGTTGCCAGTTTTCATGGCGATGATGCCAAGGCTCTCAGCTTTGTCCTTGGAGTACAACAAGTTCACAGGGATGATACCCTCTCAGTATGCACTGAAAGCCGTCGTTCACGTCGCTGGAACTTCACCGTTCGTGAGGCTCTTGCTCGGAGGGAACTACTTGTTTGGCCCGATACCAGGTCCGTTAATGGCATTAAAACCAGGTTCCGCCACAGTGAGCTTAGTGGATAACTGTTTGTATAGATGTCCATCGACGTTCTTCTTCTGTCAAGGTGGAGAACAGAAGTCGGTAATGGCGTGTAAGAGCTTTGAACCTGTGATTCCTTGAAGACTGTGCAAGTATAAATTGTACCGATCCCAAAGAGGGTTTCTCTTAAATGAATATCTTCTTCTTTGTTTTTTCTCGTCTGAACAAGTTAATAATTTTTCATTTTTTTTCTTGTTCTTGTAAAGAAAAGTGTAACTTGTGAATGTCAATAGTAACTGAAACTGAAACCAGGGGGAACAAGAGGACTACTACCGCCCGTTCTGTTTGGGGCGTCGTTTGCGTGTTTTTGTTTTGTACAAGAAAGAATCACAAATCTCAGAGATGAGCACTGATAACAGTAGGAGGATTTCAGGAGTTCTGGATTTCTTTTCCAGTTTTTCTTTTTTGACCATACCATATGATTTAGAAAATTGAAAGAACTATTTCAAGAACACGTTTGTTGGGTTCTGATTCTGGTTTAATATTAGAGAAGCAGAAATTGGCATAGCATTCTCTGATATAGATTTTCACGTTTGCTGTTTGAGAAACAAGTTGACCCACTTTCTGAACCATGACCAATACACCAATGAGCCAAACGCTACATTATTGATATTGTATTAATTCTTGCATTTCAAAAGAGTGGGAACCAAAATAATAATAATATAGCTGCATGGGTCATGGCAAGAAATGAATGAGTTAGAGGTCAAATGCGTTAATGGAGTCTATGACTATCAGACATTACTTGGAGGAGTGATGAGCATGACAGACAGACTCTCTCTCTCCCATGCTTGTCAAAAAGGGGAGTGAGTCAGTCAATTGGATGGGCCCTGGGGAGAGGAGAGTGATGAGAGCAACTGGAGTGAACAAAGTATAGCCCAAACGGCAATCATTTACATCTGGTACCAAGGCTCCAACCATCTTAGGCCAGGCCGCATTTTGGGTACGCGCCAATGCACCATTTGGGCATTCCATTGAATCATCACCAAAGTGTGGGTACACCATTGGGGATGTGGATTAAGAATTAGGGTTGGTTGGACCGTTGGGGTTGAGGCTTTGGAAAACCAGATCGAACCAGAGCCCCATGTTGCAAGGGTCCCCATTTATAACCAAACACAACCAATGGCAGAGCCAGAAATTTTCTCTTGGGGGTCCAATTTTTATATATGTAACAAACTGTATCCAATTCATGCTAGCTAGTTCTAGGTGTGAATATACATCCCAAACACACCTGTTGGGTACTGGGTTTTTCCTGTTGCTCATTTGGATAATTCGAAATTGGGTCAATCATGACATTGTTTTATCTCCACCCGCTTACTGGTAGTTTGAAAGATATAGGCCCGGACCTATAGCACCTTATCATAGGAGCAAAGCCCGGCCCAGCCTAGAGAGAGGGAGAGATTTATAAAAGTTCGATTTGGGTGGAGGCTCCAAGAACCCCAAGGTATTTTTCCTGCTTTATTGTTAGATTTTGAGAACCCCCCACCCACCATCACCACCAAAAAAAAATTATTATTTTAGTTAGATAATTTGATGTTTCAGTTGCTTAGGATTCAAGTTTCATGATTTATAATTCAATACTTGGCCTTCATGGGCCTGCTTTCTTTTTTCAACACACGCATAGCAAACTAGTGTCACGACCTTGTCCTTCATGGGCGCCCAAGCCCAATATCGCAAAAGGACAAGACGAGACTTTCCTTAATTAATTCCCCTGTATCTGCTTTCTTTGCACTCTTGTGTTTTGACATTTCCATGGCAGGCAAAGCGCCGTGGTGCTCTCTAGCATTGGTCATGGTTTTATTATGTTGCCTAAATCTAGCATTGGTGTTGATGAAGAACTGTTTGTTAAGATATGTATATTTCTTAATTCGGACTCAATGTGAAGAAATCCAAGTTAAAATCGGCCTGATTGATTGGAAGACGGTTTACATTTTCCTTTCTTCTTGTCAGTGTTATCAAGTTAAAATCGGCCTGATTGAGTGGAAGACGGTTTACATTCAACTATTAGGTGAAGTTTCATTTTATCTAAAACTATACATGTCCAGCCCAGCCCAAGACCTCTGACAATTGATTTGGGCTGGGTTTGAGAGCATATTCTTGGGAGTTGGGCTGAAGTTGGAAAAGGGTACTACTAATGCAAACCGGTATGAATTGCATCTACAAATCATCATCTTGAATTGTAAGATGTGTGGCTGCAATTCACGGTAGGTAGATGTGTGGCTACAAGATATACGTAGCAGGACTTGGCATCCAAGAGGCTGGCTGTTCATAAGAAGACCAATCCGATCAAACCGACTAATTTGGACCAACCCAACTCGAGTTGGTTGGGTTTTTTTCAGCATCGGTCGGTTTTGGGTTGTAAAAAATTATAAACCGATGGTTCGGGTCGGTTTTCGATAGTGTGAAAACTGAAACCGACCCAACCCGAACCGACTTAGTAGTTAGTTCCTAGTTAATAGTTACAATCTACTTATTTCTTATTTAACTAAGTTATCTCTATCCTTACTTACAACCTAACTTAATTTCTAGTCTTCTAATTAGGAATGATATTAATGGCAAGTATAATTTTTTGGAAAAATTTAAAGAAAAGAATCAAATGATCCTAGTTTATATGGTCTTTTACACCAAATAGGCAACTAATTACAATTAGAATTAAGTGTCATTTTTTACTTAGATTAGAAGGTTTCTTGAAATATACAAATTTCAGTCTTCTTTCTCTAATACAGTTTGACTTTCTATTTTCTTGATAAATTCTATTCTAACTTGGTCCACCCTCCTTAGCCCCTCAACTCAAGCACAATCTCCTTAGCCCCTTCTTAGCCCCGACTTAAACCGACCAGATCGGTTTCGGTTTCAATTTCAAATAACCTGACCAGATTAGGTCGATTGGAAAAATCTCAATAAACCGATCCAACCCAACCCGTGAACAGGCCTAGAAGAAAATGGGCATTTGGGCATTATGGTCAAAGGGTGAATAGGTCAGTCATATCTTTTGAGTTTTGATTTTTTTTTATATACAAAAGGAAGAATTAAAAAGGGGGACGCGGAAAGAAAAAACAAAAGGCATCAAATAATAAAAGAAGAATAAATTAAATACCATGCATTCGAGGACGAGCCATGGAGAGCTAGCTTATACGTGGCCACCGTTGGCCAATCAATCTGCCACTTGGTTTCCCATTGTAAGTGATGGGTCATCTCACGCGAGCCACAATCTTCTTAGATGGGATCTGTTCCTCACACCATACATTGAGAGCATCTCCTGTGAATAATAATTTATTAACATGGAAGATGTTTCCAATACATGATAAGATGTACGTGTGAATCGCCAGTTTAAGAAGAAGATCGGATCTTGCATTCCTCTATCATTACCTTGCACCTCCAGCTCTACAGATGGCTGATTCAGTCTTGAATAGGGGTAAGAAAAAGAAAACCAAAAAACTGAATTGAAAAAATCGATCAAAATCGAACTAAAAAATCGTTTAACCAAATCGGTCGATTTAGTTTCGGTTTGATACTTTTAAAAAACAGATAATTTCGGTTCGATTTTTGTTAATCATTGAAAAATATCGGCGGTTAACCAAATCGACCGATATATTACAATAATATGTTTATATAAATAATATAACATATTTTTTAGTTTTTTCGAAAAATCGAATAAAAGATTTCCATTTATTCAGCGCCTCATCGACCGTACCAATTTATTAGGTGCAGTCTATCAGTCTGAAGACTTTCAGCCTTAAGGTTTAAATTTCAATTATATATATATATATATATATATATTTTAAATTGAACTTTTCAAATTTCAATTGAAAGTTGGATAGTCTGCCTCTGCCAGAGTGTAAGACTGCCAGTCCACTCCTCTTTTGTCTTTTTTCAGATTGCTAACTCTTTTTCTCAGTTCGCTTTCTCTCTCTTTCTCATTTCTCTCAGCTTTTTCTTCTCTCCGTTTTCTTTTTCTCAGTTCTCAGTTTTTTCTTCTCTCGCTCTCTCAGTTCTCTTCCACTCCATAGGCCGTGCAGCCTGCGCCAACCACCAATACGGCAACGACGGTTGCCGCCTCACCGGCAAGTAAGGACCAACGGTCCAAGTGTCCAACCAGTCCGACAAGAAAGCACCAACTCTCTCACTCTATCAGTTCTCTCTTCTCTCTCTCACCTCTTTTCTTTGCGTTTCCGCCAGGCACCAGCCGCACCACTTCCCAGGCTCTCATTCAGGCGACACTCGTCGGTAATCACCGACATCGAAAACAACCAACGGCACCAGTTTTAGTTTTCTTTTTTTTATTATTTAAAAAATGTATAAAAAAATCGAAAAACTGAACCGCCAGATTCATCGGTTAACCGGTTGTATCGGTTCAATTTCGATTTGCATATTTAAAAAACCGATCAAATCGGTTCGATTTGAAAAAATACCCCACGTTCGGTGCACCCCTGATCTTGAAAGGCATCAATTGTCGCCTTTTAATCTCCTTCGGCAACTCAATTAGCTTGTGGGCTTCAAGGACTCCCCTCATTTTAGAGTTTTCAATGGAACCATCTTTAAATAATACTAATAGTGTCTCTCCGAGGTGGTTCCTAGCAATACATTCGACCACACGTGAGGTACCATTTCAACCACGTGACCTTTTTTTTTCTTATTCTTTTTTTCTCATGAGGCCCAAAGCTTTTTGGGCTTCAACATGTTCATTGCAATTTTGAAATGCTTTATTTATTATCTATCTCTTGGGGCCCAGTACTTTTATCATTGAATTTCTTTTTTTCATTTAATTCCTTTCATAAGTACCTGTGGTAAATATTCTATATAAGGGTATACCCACCCTGCTTACTTTCATTGACTGAGTATAAAGTAAGAAAAATGTTGTTTTGATCAAACTCCAAGGCTTCAACAACCTTTATTATTGGGATTGTAATTTCAGACACTATTAGGCATCCTAGCTAGTGAAGTAGGAATACCTCTCAGTTATAAGAAACCTCATATTTATATTTTACCTTGTTATTCCTTTGCCCACATCCATGAAGTCAGAGCAAAAGTGTGGTGTTCCTGTTTCAAGTTAAATATGCTCAATCTAATGCATTTTTACATGCTCAATCTGATGTGGCAGTTTCTTTTGTTTTGAAAAATAAAACCATTCACATTGGCATTGCGGAACACTAAAACAACGATAGGAGGGTGATTCTATTCTTTAAAACTCAATTAAGAAGAACAACAATGCCCTACTGTCACTGTGGAGTGTGGATATATCACCAATTGTTGCAAGTAGTGGTGGTAATTGGACGGATTGGGTTGGGTTTGGTTTGGGTTGAGCTCCAATTCAATACATCTAATCCGTCAACCCATTAATGATCCAATTATATAAAATTAAATGGGTTATGTTCAACCCAA